GTAAGTAGGTTATGCTTACCCTATTTTAAATATACTTTATATTTAAATTAGTATTGTTATTATGAACTTATAATAAATATTTGGGCTATTATTATGACTTATATAAGTGTCATTATAATATATTTTTAACTACTCGCGATATGAGGAGTCTAGTTTAAAGGGCCGCATAGGGTTGTTGGATTTCAGAAGTGCTATATGCCAAAATGGTTCTGACCTCCGGTGTTTTATGCATGGCCCTTGTCTGTACATAGTGGTTGGAAAATAGTGTTTAAACGTTTATAAAATAATAATAATGCTAAGACTAATATTTAGTCACGGTAAATATTCGACTAAAATCTAGTGGTAATAATACTAGGTTTCATCGAAGGAAATTGTATTGTTAAGAAGCGCAGTGTTGTCTGAGTTTGGAATCATCACTTTAACAATTGAGTGCATAGTTACTTTCATCTTACACATAGATATGAAGTATTTAATATAAATTACGTGCTATGTGTGCATATTATTTGTGTTCTTGATATCTATGTTGGATGAACACAAATATACAAGTTTTAATTGTTTTAAACTTTATATGTATTTTATACCTATAATTATGATGGGTAAAAGATGGGTAGATTAAAGATGAGATTAATGATGAGCAATGAAAGATGAGATGAATGATGAGCGATGATATATGAGTGGTAAAAGATAGTGAGAAGCGATGAGTCAAGCAATGTCCTCATCATCTAGCAGGGTATAGATGACAATCACGAACTATTCTAGATAGTCCAGTGGAACACTAGTAGACTCGCAACCTGTAGGTGTTGTGAGCTATATGTTCACCCGGTGTACTCTAAAAACCCATTGACATGTATTTCAGGTGGATTCCATAAAATAATATTGTCAATAAATGAGATAAACCCTGGCAGCTATGGACTTAGCGCCTGTTAGATGAACCCTGGCAACTATGGACTTAGTGCCTCTTATATAAACCCTGAAAAAGATGGACTTCGTGCCTATTCCTCAGGACACTCCTTAGGAATAAATAATGAGGAATAGATGATTCTTAGGAAAGATACTTAAGAATAAAAGAGATAATGGGGATGGGCAATTGGGTTTATTTTTGATGATTAAACATAATAACTTTATTATTATAGGTTGAAAACCCTATGTACTCACTAAGTTTCCCAACCTGACCCACTCAATTTATTTGTATCACATGTGTGAATACGAAGCTACATTACACTGAGTGATGAAAGGAGATGTAAATCACTAGTGTAAAAGAATGTAAGGTCTGTTTATGCTTATGTTTCTGTGTTGACGATGACATCTCAATGTTTTAATATAAACAAATAAATTTCTTCAGAAATGCTTTGATGAAACCTTTATCATCCTTTTTGGGAACAAAATTCCGCAACATTGTTCTTTAAAAAGGATAATCTAATTTTAAACTAGGCATAAATGAAAATTTTAAAATGACCGTAAATTTGGGGATGTCACACCTAACTCGCATAACGGGCCCTATCCACATACAATTCATATAAGCATAACATGTAATAGCAAATAGAGTAACCATCGGGCCCTACCCAGTAAGCATATAAGCACATATACAAGTGTAAAACAGGCGGTGAGTATTCTAACATAATAGATCATGGGTCGACATTGGGGCCTTCGACACATAATAATAAACAGAGTAACCATATAAGCACATATACAAGTGTCAAACAGACGGTGAGTATTCTAACATGATAGATCGAGGGTCGACATTGGGGCCTTCGACACGTTAAACACAATGAGGAAACTCACCTCGCACTGCTGCGGGCAACTATTCTGACATATCCTCGAGCTATCAATAACCAAAAACACCCAATTAACCATTGGAGTCTAAACTATATCCCTTAGCCCACATTTAGGGTAAAAACAACATTTTACCCCTATTTATTTTTGGTCCAAGACTTAAATCCAAACTTTCAATTTAAAGGCCCAAAGATCAATTACCCATCCATGGCCCACTTATGGCCCAATTTTCCAAATTGGCCCCAAATCCTTCCATGGACCCTACCCTAAGGCCCACTAAATTTTCCTAATCCAAGCTCTTTCATTCAGGTGGCCCAATAAGTCCCCAAGCCATTAAGCCCAAATCTGAAGCCCAACTATATGAAGCCCACCTGATTAAGTACGCGGGGTGTACTCAGCACGTAAATGCAAAGTACTCGCTTGATGGCTTGTACGCCATCATACTCACCTATTCAATCAAAACTTCATTTCAGTCCTTAATCCCTTAAGACATAGCCACAAAACATAGATTTGACTTCCTTGAGCTGGAAAACCACATAAATTTGCCAACTTTACGTTCATGCATGTCCAAATGAAGCTCTTAAGTGTAAAAGGGACTTAATAAGTGACTTAATGCATGCATGTAAACAATTATCTCATAAAGCTTGCACCTTTATGCTCAAGGAGTCGAATACAAACTCAGATCTAGAATAACAAGCCCTTAAAACGAATTCACTCTCTTATCAACCCAAAAGTGGACCTAAAGCATAACAAAGCATAATATAAAGAGATCTAAACATCTACTAGTCAATGTTCAAACTTGTTACCTCAGAAAGCTTGCACAAAAGAAGATGACTCTGGATCCAAAACCTTTCCACCAAGCAAGACAACTTCAAGATTCGCCACTTCCTTCACAAAGACCAAAAATGAGGCCCAAGAATTTCTTACTAGCTCAAGAACACCACAAAGAGACTTAATGATTGATTTTAGGGTTTTGTGGCAATGAAGACTGGTAAGGGGGTCAGCAATGAAGACTTAAAGCCTTTATATAGGGTGCAACACCCTAAATTTGGGTTTCAACATCTCGCACATACAACTCGCGTATAAGGATGTACGCCCAACGTACGTGCCCGGAGTCCCGTCCCACCATCGCATGAGTACGCTACGCCCCACGTACTGCTCAATGACCAAAATGCAAATCTTTTTATAACAAGGCAAAAATAAGAACTTGCCAGGATTAAAGTGTTACATTGGTGTTGTCGCGATAATTGTTACCGCTATTACTTATATTTCTTGTAGTAAATGACTGTTGTGAGGCACCAAAAAGCCAAAAAGCACAAAACCAGCCCTGGTTTATACATTTACCTCCTAAACCCTCGTACTATATCTATACTAGAAGGGGAAGTCGGCGACCTATGCTTTGTTGCTGCCTCTTGGCTGGTCAACAAGACTTTTTTTCCTTCAAAATCTTCCATAGTTCCCCATCTCTGCTCAAAAATGCTGCTCCTCTGCTCTCCTTCCCCACATGAAGCACTTGTCTAGGTAAAAAAAAAATATCTGTCCTTTTTAATGTTTCTTTACACTTATGTTCATCGTGTTTACCCTTCGTCACTACTCCACCCTCTCTTCCTTATGTTTTTCTCACCTTTACACCATTTTTCTTGCAATTTTGGTTATGTAGCCCATTTCAGAACTTCAACTCCCTTTTCTACTCTTTTTATTATACTATGATGTTGCACTTCTAGGTTTGATTACCTTCAGGAAGTAATGTTTTAAAAATGTTTGAAAATTAGGATTGTTATTCCTTCAACAATGGATAATTTCATTTCAACTGCATCATATTATGCCTAACAATCGAAAAGTTGATTATCCGACCAAATCTTTCATGTCTGATGGCCTTCATAACAACAAATAGTAGAGTCACTAGGTGAAACTTAAGCATTTCCATGCCAGATACCCCAAAATCTTACTACCCTGTAATACTTTAATATATGCAAGTAAATCATATTTTAGAGCACTAAACACCACTGGGGTATCTAAAAAGGTGTTAGTCCTAAAACCTTATATGAGAGATATGTTTGATTCTTCTTTATCTTTTCTTTAATTTTGACACCCACATTCAGTAAAATGAAATTGAATCACATGAAACCCTAATTTGTTATCACACAATTTTGCCATTTGTTTTGTAGAGAAGGATGCAACTCAAAGGTTTGACAAAATGAAAGCTGACAAGAGTGTTTGGCCAAAATTGCTTTGTTGTCGGGAGAGCATTCATGACTCATATGCCTTCATCCGCAAGCAAGAATAGATCCAAAATATGTTTGACTATCTATTGTGTCTTTTTGTTATCGTGTATGAGGTTGACATTGTTCATATATATTTCTCTTTATATATTCATCCACATTGATCCTTTACTGAAATTAGTTGACCAAACCATTAATTATAATTATTTATAAGTATCATAAGAATTATAATTTGACCGAAAACAGTTAATAAAAATGTAAAATATCTCCATTCTTCATCAAGCCAAAGCCTAAAATACCGTTCACATTTTTATTGACGTCCTATGCGTCTTTTAATTAATAGTCACGTTACGTAATTAATTTAAATTACATGAAAAAATCAAATATTTTGTTTTGATTAGAAAATTATTACGATCACACACTTAAATACATAATTAAGACTGTGCTTGGTAGGATGCCGCATTGGCTTTTAGCCGCATATACTTCATACTGATCATCTTTTTAAAAGACTCGATTATAATCCCAAAGTCAAAATGGACCTAACATATTGACTTCGATTTATTTTATATATATTCTTTCTTTAATTACAATTTAATATATTATTTCTGTTTTTCTTTAAACTAAACCTTATTTATAGTTATCGATATTAAGTGATTTTAATTAACCTACTCAAAGTTTAACATGACTTGGTATCTTAGACTCTTAATAATGTAACTAAAATAAATGCAGAATAAATGACCTATTTAACATATAAAATTAGCAATATTAATTGTAATAAAAACACTTAATTAATTGTAAAGTCCTATAATTAAGTATCTGGACAATGATATTTCAACACATTATGCACTTTCTCTGCACCAGATAATCACCCCCAAAAGGCAAAAACAAACAAAAAAAAAACACTTCAGAACTCAATATATACAAAGTATATTGAGAAAAAAAAATCGATCCAATCACAAGAAAAACAAACGAACAAAGTTTTAGCTATTTGTTGTCAATTTATTATCACATCTGACACCTTTCCTTCCCTGACTTTGCGGTGGTGAACGACAGTGAAAAAACCCACTTGGGCAGTGACGACTTTGATCTTCTTAAATTTCTGTTCAGTGGCTGCCGGCGACCACTCTGATTATGTTTCTTGGCCATGGAGTCCACAAAAGAACTTAGACGTTGCATGGCTATAAGTAGGGTTTCTTTTGACATGTTGGCAAAGCAAACCCTAAACCAACCAGGTTCACTACAATGGCATGATGAACCTGGTGATATATTCAACCCCACTTCATACACAATCTTCTTCCATAATTCCATTTCGCCTTCAAACGTTTGTGAACTCAATAGGTGTCTCATATCAACCCAACTAAATAAACCAGCATTTCCTTTGAGGCATCTAATACCGGTTTTTTGTAGGGCCTTTTCCATCATTTCATGCCTTTGCTTCAACCTTCTTCGATTCTCAGATAGATAATTTCTTGTAAACTTCTTATCAGATAGCATTTCTGATAGTAAGTATTGAGTTTGGGAAGAAATCAACCCAAAGCTCGACATTTTCGTTGCAGCTGAGACCACCATATCATCGTTGGAGTAAATAGCTCCAACTCGAAACCCTGGTAGACCGAGATCTTTTGAAAGGCTATAAACAATATGAACGCGTTTCCACACATCGGTGTTCATAAGGTTCCTGTTCTTTAAGACCTCCATGATGCTAACGAAGCCAGGAGAGCAGAAAACAGTGCCGGAGTAGATTTCGTCACTAATGAGATGGATGTTCTTGGAGGAGACAAAGTCAACGAGAAGGTTGAGTTCATGCAAGCTCAGTGATGTCCCTAATGGGTTTGATGGGTTTGTGACTAAAACACCCTTCACTTTCAGGTTTTGCTTTTGCGCTTCTTCGTATGCCTCTGTGAGGGCTGATTCGGTGATTCTGAAACCATTTGAGCTCGAGCAATGGATAGGTACTATCTCAGCTCCAGTTCTCCACTTGAGATCTCTATCAAACCTATAATATAACAATATAAATTTGATCAGTTTAACTTCCTTATAGTCGAAATACGGCGGATTGATGAGGTGCTTAAGTGAACATGAACTCACCCTGGATAATATGGGGTGGGAAGGAGGAAAGCCTCGCCGGGATTAGCAAGACAAAACATTAAAGTTTCATTGGCGGAGGTTGCTCCGGCGGTGAGTACGAGGTTGTTTGGATCAAATGTTACTTTATTTGCTCTAATCTCTGACATGAAATCGGCTAATGACTGAAAAATAGGAAACACGTAACTGTTAATAATATATCAAAATATGAATGAGGTAGCTATATATTCAATCATGATAATATAGATAAACAATGAGCTTACGTTTTTGAAAGCAGGAAGGCCATGATAATCTTGGAAGAGGGCAAGTTCCTTGAAGAGTGAATGATTATCGTTTTTGAATCCGGCTGAATGAGGATTGTTCTGGAGCCATGATTCCAGAAGGTCGAATGAGAGTTGATTCTCGGCGAGGCCCATCTGAATGATACCGTTGGGATTTTTAAGTTGGTGGTATGGATGTTTCTCGTACTCCTCCCATCCGAGGAAGTAGGATGAATCTTGGCCATGGGAGTTGCACGTGGCTTTTGCAGACAACATCTCGATTCCTGTGTAAGAGAGAGAGAGAGAGAGAGAGAGAGAGAGAGAGAGAGAGAGAGAGAGAGAGAGAGAGAGAGAGAGAGAGAGAGAGAGAGAGAGAGAGAGAGAGAGAGAGAGAGATGTTTGGTGGGGTGTGTGTTGAAAGTGGAGATGGATTTGGTTTGAACGGGGGTTTGAGAAGGTATATATATAGAAAATTGGAGGGTGCAAGCTGTAAAGACATAATAAAGAATGCCACCTCATGTATTTGACCATGGTTTTGTAGGTGGATAATAAACACTTGACAAGAGTTTCCTCGTTTTTTTTTTTTAAATCTTAAGAAATCAGCTCACACGCTTCCCACATAGAAATCCAGTTCTCTGACAAAGTAACTTGTATTATTATACTATAATATAATTAATATTTTAGCATAGTTATTTAAAAATGATTTTTAAGAATAAATTATGGGATCCCCGTCTTTGTAAAATTTCTTTATATAGTTCTGTAATTACATTTTAATTTGATATATAATTTTGTGTTTTTTTTTATTGATTTTTTCTTTTTTTATTTTATTTTTGTTTTTGTTTTTTTGGTTTTCGTTTTGTCTTTTATTATATATTATTATTATTATAAAATTATAATTATAATTATTATTATTTTTAAAACAATTTATTTTATTTGACGTCTCTTTAATTTGAACTTTAACTTTATATTTTTTTTTCTTTTGGACTATCATTGTGTTATTTTTTTGTTGAGTCTATCATTATGTTAAAAGAAAAATTACAAACCATCATATGTATAAGAAAAATTATGAACAAACATATGTATGTTTGTTGATTCGTGTGTGATTTTTATTTAATGGATACAAAAATCGTAACAAAATAATAACACTAGATAGCTCAAACTTAAAAAATAAATACATGGATAGCTTGAATTTAAAAAAAAAAAAACATAAAAATAGTCCAAATGAAAAAAAATAATAGCATGTATTTATTAAAAATATTAAAAACAAAAAAAAAACGAAAAAAAGGTAAAAACACAAAAAAAAAAAAAAAAAAAAAGACAATAAAGACAAAAAAAAACACAAAAAGTGAAAAAAAAAGGTAAAAATGAAAATTAGGGGGGGGGGGGGGGGGGGTAAATAATTTTTTTTTGTATAAACTTACTTTTATTTTTATAAATTTATTTTGATTTTTACGGACTATATACTTTTTATGTTATATTGAACTTTAAAGTAATATGTTTATGAGTTATAAAGTTCTACCTTAGACAATATTTGTCAAACTAGCTTATTAGTTTTTAGTTTATAAACTAGCTAAACAATAAGCAAGCTATCACACACTGTTATCAATAAATTATCTTATATGTTACTTTGTAAATTATAATAAATTGCTTTTATAATTTTATCAAATGTAAAATAGAAAAAGTTATTTTTATTGTAGGTGTTTGTTTATCCAAAAGGTTTTCGATGTTTTCCAAGCTCTTGATTGGAGTTCTTTCAAACATTATGGTAAATATTATAGATTTACAAGTGATTATTATCAATAAAAATACAATAAAATATTATAAAACAATTTAGTGTGTTTATGAAAAACACTCATGATTAGATTTTTTTTTTGTTTAATGAATTGGTGCATATGAATCACAAAAAACTATTGAAATATTAACTAACTAGATTATAGCCCGCGTTAAACGTGGGAAATGCATAAAAAATATATAATCGTCTACAGATATTGCATAATGATTATAAAAAAAATATAGTTATTGGTATTATTGAAATGTGTATAAAATATATTGAAAACGATAAATATCTATAATCATTGAAAAACCTCTTTGTAGACAACATTTTTTGTTTTATTAGTTGAAAGACTTTCCTTGTGTTATATAATTATGATATTGTTATATAATTATAAACATTTTAATTAGACGTTTCTTCCATAAGGTTACCTAATTTAAACATATATTGACAACCAATATACTGTTTTTTCCACTGCATTAAATATTGATAACTATTTCATTTATTCAAATAAAATTATGTAATATAAGTTATAGAATGTTAAATGTTATATGAATTTAATTTTAGTATATCATCAATGGAGATTTTTTCCTAATTCATGATTGGTTTTTTTTAAATTGATTATCAATATAAATGCTAGTTTTTATGTTTGTTCTTATTTATTTGGTGTCCGCAAGAACTTTGTATTAGTTTTGGTGCAACTTTGAATAATTTTAGTATATCATCAATGTAATTTGGTATATCTTTCAATTATATGAAATATCAAATAATGACATTTCATTACTATTGTGATAATTTAGTTTATATATTGTATTTTTAATAATCTTAACGGTCCTATTTTTTTCTAATAACCTTAATGCTTTTACTAATTGTACTTTTTACAAATCTCCTAATATGTTATAATTTTTATCTTAGTTTATAATTTTTCATAACTTTGTTATTTTCAAGATTGATTGCTTTAATAGTTTTTTTTTCCAGTCTATTCAATTTTATATTTCATTGTACAACATCATCCTTTGTATGTATTCTGAAATTTCAATTTAAAAATGTTTAATGTTTACACCTTGATATTAATTTTGTTTTAATAAACCCGTGTAATAATTATGGAATATATATCTCATTTTAATTAACATTTACTTCTTTCATTATATCAAATTCCTCATTAAACGGATATATTTTTGGAAAGTAATAATTATAATAGGACAGCATTATCTAAGACGTAAATGTTTGATATACTTTTGGAGGAAACAAATCAGGATCATTAAAAAAATTATATAAAGAAAATAAAATTTTAAATTTGGTGAAATTATGGATAAATTACTGGCGAAAATTATTTTGGAAGGTGTTGTATTTTGTAAGGTATAATAATATTACAAAATTTGAAATATGTATATTTGTGTAAATTTATAAATTTTATTGTTACTATATAAAGATAAAAAAAAGTAGGTTGACATGATATACAAAAAGATAATAATTTCAATGATATTTTAAAATCATATCAATATTAACCGGATTCTTATGACATAAAAATTTAAAAAAAAAAAATCATAATCATCTCTAATATATAAAAATAACATTTTGGTAATTAATGTCAGTTCCCAAGATAGTTAATTTCTGTTTTGTTAAAGGTGCATAATATCTTTTCCTGTTTATTTGAAAAGTTTTAGAAAAATAGTTAACTGATTTCATGTAATTTGTGACAAAGAAAATCGAAATATATAAATACATATATTTGATATAGGAACAAAAAAATAATCGAAAAAATATGAAAAGAAAAAGAAGGTATTGGCCTTCTAATGCACTAGAACGAATGTTTGAATTAGAGAATGATGATGTAAATTATAAACAATAATAATGATGTTGTAGGAGAAGGTTTGAAGAAAAAAAAAACGATTGAAAATAAGTGTGAGTCGCAGATTCAAGAATGAATCGTTTATGTATGTGATAATTTGAATATGATTTTGCAGTATTAATGATTTCCTAATAAAAGTAGATTTTATATTAATGGTTTACTAATATAAACGGATTTATATTAATGGTTGATATTAATGCCTTGATTGAAATGATTTTGTTAGTAATATGATTTTAAATTGATCATATTAAAATCTTCATAATCGGAAATTCAAGATTTAAAATATGGAAAGCTTTTATTGAAATTAAATACACTCCATTCAACGAATGTAAGTTATTGTTTGACGATTGGAAAACATTTATTGGATTAAATATATTCCATATAGGGAAGATGATGTCAGCAATTTGATCTAAGGGTGAGAAAAATAAGATTGAAATACAATCAAGGGTCCAGATTATTTAAGATGATGTCATAAGGTTTCTCTTTTAATAATATTTAGAGATATGAAACAAGGTTTTCAGGCCCAAATTGATAGATATGTGGTTTTTCACTCGGGAGGCATGTGTTTTTTGCTCTGATTTCGTAGTCCTCCGCACGTATAATCTTGTGTTCTTATTTCTCTATTATTTGTCACTTGGAGGATAGTTAAGGGTCTTTGAAAGCATTTTTCCAGCAAATGGTATCAAAGCTCGAAATTTAAGAGTGGTCTCAGTTTAGAGGTTTGTAGTATGCATTGTAGTTGCAACTTTGTCCGATCTTCTACATTAGGTTTGTAGTATGTGTTGTAGTTACAACTTTATCTAATCTTCTACATTAGAAACTATTAGCCTAGCTTATATTTATGTAAACTATTAGATTTATTGTATACTTGAGGGGTGTATATTGTATCATTTTTCTAGTATTTATATAAGATAACTCCCATGCCTATTGGTGTGGTATTCCATTCATTACATGGTATCAAGAGCCCTTCAACCCCTCCATTCATCTCCCTCCTCATAACCGACTCCTCCATTGTTTCCGGCGATCTCACCATGGCCGGCTCCTCTAATGACTCCACCCTCTCGATGAACACCCTCATTCATCTCATCACCATTCGTCTCTCTTCTTCCAATTATCTTTTGTGGGTAAATAAATGGTTCCCCTCCTAAATTATCAACATTTCCTTGCACATGTCGATGGCTCCTCGGAAGCTCCACCCACTCATCATACCGTGGACGCCAAGCAAGTTGAGAATCCGGCCTTTGCAGAATGGCAAGCCGCCGATCAACGCACGGTTCTTCTCCTCCAAGCCTCTCTCACGGAGGAAGCTTTTTCTGAAATCATGGGTCTTTCCTCCGCCCGCGCCATCTGGACTGCTCTCGAATCCGCCTATAGAAACTTCTCCATGGAACGGGTTCAAAATCTACGCGACCAACTTCGGCTTCTCTCTAAGGGTGACTCTCCCGTTTCTGATTGTGGTCGCAAGTTCAAGGCCATTTGTGACCAACTAGCGGCTATTGGTCAAGCCGTTGATGAATCCGACAAATGTCATTGGTTTTTATGTTGCCTCGCCGGCAGTTTTGAAGCTTTTTCCATTAGGGTTCGCACCTCGCGTATCACTCACTCATTCCGGGATCTCCTTGTGCAAGCTGAAAGCCATGAATTGTTCATCAA